ACTGTTGGACCACGTTCTGATCTCACCCTTGTACGAGATTCTACCTTTGATGGTCCAGTTGTTTTGGTAGGGAGACAAAGACTCAATAGGGTTGACGGGTCTCTCAGGACCACGGCCACGCGTCTGCTGGTTAGGCTTCTGAGGCTGCTGCTGCTGCTGCTGCTGCTGTTGCTGAGGGGGCTGGGGTTGAGGGCTGTTGCTCAGCAGGTTGCCTTGGTTTCCAGTAACGCTCGTGGCAGTGTCCTCATCTGGGTGTTGGTCGAAGTAAGTGTCAAGAGAAGTCAAATCGGACGAGATCCTCTCGGTCCTTGGCACATCCACCAGAAGATCGGAGATGAGCACGATTCTCTTCAAGGTTCTGGCAACAGTGTACTGCTTAACTGTGATGATAGAATACCTGGCAAACCCGTTAGCCTCCAAGTACGCGTTACATCTCGCGTCGATCAATCCTTGGATCGAGTATTTGCCATCACTAATAACACACCTGTATCTCCTCTCGGTGGCGGACTGTTCATTAATCACTTTCGAATTGGTCACTTGAAGACGAAGACCTTTTCCTTCCCACAAGTGGCAAGTTGAACTGCTAAGAGCCTCTTTCAACGAGCCGGGCTGTACTCCGTAAGTCTCAGACATTGATGAGTAGTTGATGGTTGGATTTACGCGATTCCTTATGGCGCGTTGTTGGTGTGACACGCGTGTGCAGGTCGGTAGCAACACATCCAGTCTTTGATTCCGAGAAAACGACTGAAAACCGAGATTATGAGATTCTAAAAACAGAATCGGTTATACTGTCTTTCAGAGCTTGTTAGTGTTTATGCTGAGCATCTTTTGGAGTGCAGCTTTTACTCAAACTTAGGACCCCATAGGAGCTGTCTGCAGACCTCGTTCACTGTTTACTGTCTAAGAAGAGTAGTAACCCTATAATTAAAGGCTCTATTTAGACTTTTGATGCACATACCCCACAGTCCCATGCAAATGAGATGCTGAAGTGCCGTGGTACTCATTATCCTACGCTGAACTTCCGAAAGCACGTGGCTTTGATGAATATATACCTTCTATCACTCAAAAAAAGCAGCTTGAATATCTACTCTAAACCAGAATGACCTGCCTGGAGGGCTTATAATTTTGGCTGCACAGCAACTGCATTGTAAAGTTCGTCCTTCTCATTGACCTTGACAGCACCGCTCTTCAAAAGCGCCCTGGTCAAATCGTAAATCAAGTCGTCAATGTTCTCGATACCAATGCATAGTCTGATCAAGTCCTCGGGGAATTCTCTCTCTTCTCTGGTCTTGGAATCAATAGAGGCATGTGACATCTTGCATGGCATGGAGATTAAGGAGTTCACACAGCCAAAAGAGACGGCGATACCAAAGATATCTGTGGATTCGACAATTTTCTCGGACATCTTGATGGAGCCCGTTTCAAAACTCAACACTGCGCCGGCGCCTTTGCATTGGCTCTGATGCAATTTATACTGTGGATGGCTGGGTAAGCCAGCGTATCTGACTTTGAAACCAGCATTCTGTAAGAATTCTGCGATCTTGACACAGTTCTTCTGTTGTCTCTCGACTCTAACAGCCAATGTACGCAAGCCTCTGCTCAACAACCATGAATCAAAAGGACTCAATCCACACCCGGTGGAGTTGATCACGAAATAGACACGCTCAGCCAACTTAGGGTCTCTCGTGCCAATGATTCCAGCCATGATATCGTGATGGCCGTTCAAGTACTTTGTGGCAGACTCATACTGGATATCAACCCCCAAGTCCAACGGCGTCATCAAGATAGGAGTCATCATGGTGTTGTCGAATACAACAATACAGTCGGGGTTGACCGCATGAGCATGGTCTGTGATGGCCTTCACGTCACAAACCTTAATTAAGGGGTTTGTTGGCGATTCCAAGAAAATCATCTTGATAGCAGGAGTGATCTTCAGTTTGATCAACTCTGTATTCGTAGTGTCGTGATGGTGAACCTTGAGATCTCCTTTGTTGTTCAAATAAGTCAACAATCTATGAGTTCCACCGTACAAGTCGTCGCCCGCTATCACCTCGTCACCAGGCTGGAGCAAACGCAAAATCACATCAAGACATCCCATTCCCGACGTCACAGCGAACGTCTGATGTGCTTTCATGATCTTAGCCATGTGGTTTTGTAAATGTGTTCTGGTGGGGTTGCCGGATCTAGTATAGTCGTACTCTCCCATGTTGGAAAGCGACTCCTGTTTGAATGTGGCCAGCTGGTATAGCGGAGGCACACTGGCATTGTACTGGTCCGAGGACTTGTTGATGACCAACTCAGTCTCGATGTTGTATGGTTTTGTTTTAGTCATACGTAAAGAAAGTGGTATTTTTCACTAACGAGTTTGTGCAGCTTAGGAGTCATCTGCGGATTGCAACTACTCACGGGACAGATAGCCTATGTGCAGAGCACAATCTGGGGTTTCAAAACGATAAGCTCAGATATCGTCCTCAAGGAGTCCCAAAGATGAACGAGCTGCCGTTGTGGATAGTTTAGCTCTGAATCATTTCATAAACTTATCCAAGATTTTGATACCATGTCTTGCAAATGATCTCCAGCGACATTTCGAAATCTAAGGTGCTTTCACGTGACTTATATCCCGTGACAGTGATGTCAGAGTTGACGATTCCATCACGAAACTACAAACAACTGGCCTGACCTATTGTTTCAATATATGCGAGATAATATACAAATGATGACGTTGTGAGCCTACAAGTCGGCTCTGGTGAACTTGCGCACGTCGTTGGGCTCGGCGCTGTTCAACACCTTTCTACCACTGAGAGGCTCACAAGAGAGTCTTCCAGAAACGGGACCGGCCTTCTCTAAAGGCTTGCCCTCTTGCAAAGTCTTCAAGATAGCCACGGTCTTCTCTGCGGTCAAGTCCTCGTGGTAGTCATCGTCAACAGCCATCATAGGAGCATTCACACAGGCACCCAAACATTCAACCTCCTGGAAGGTGAACATCTTGTCTGGGGTGGTCTGACCAGGCTTGATTTTGAGGTAGTCCTTAATGGCCTTCATGATGTCGTCAGAGCCACACAACTGACATGGAGTGGTGGTGCAAACCTGAATGTTGTGCTTACCCATAGGGTGTCTCATGTACATGGTGTAGAAAGTGGCAACTTCGTACACTCTCATAGGAGGCATGTCCAACATCTTAGCGACGTAGTTCATGACAGAGATGGAGGTGAAACCCAACTGTCTCTGACCCAAGTCCAACAAGGGCATCACAGCACCCTTCTTGTACTGAGGTGGGTATTTGGCAATGATTTCATCGGCTCTCTTTCTGTTTTCAGAGTTGAACTCGAAAGGAATGTTTGGGTTGTCTTCTTTAATGTCTCTGTGGACAGAGATTATACTGGAGTTTCTGAGGGATGATCTCATAAGAGGAGCCACTCTGGCATTAGGAGCCACGGCTCTTCTGGCCAATTGACGGAACATGATGCTGGGAATATATGTAATATTAAGGATGCAAAAGGGACCAGCGGTCGATGTGTAAAGTTGGACGTCTAGCCTGAAGGTGGGAGGTTATATTTTTTTAGTCTCAAAGTATGGAGCACTGTACAGTGAGCGTAACGTGGAAATGCCCGAGTCCCATTGGCCGTAATGCGAACCCGTGCACCAGATTTCGGCCTCTAGCGTTCAAGAAGTCCGGTCCCCCTATAATAAATCTGAAATCGGGGTTTTTTCGTCGAAAAGCAATGAGTGATGGCTTCTTTAAGCTCAATCTTCTTTCATTGATACTAGTTGATTTACGTTTCATTTTTAATGGAGTCGCAGTCAGCATTGTAGTGCTCGTAGAGAGATGCGGTGACTACCTCAGATGAGCAAGTCACATTAATATGTGATCGACCTGTTGACTTCTTGAACAAAACGTTGACCAAAGAAAACATAATTGACAAGATCTAAGAGAAAATTTGAAAAAGTAAATGCTAATTATAGTCCTGGGAGAACTGTCGGTTGTTAAGACTTAACTGAGGATGGAAGGCGGTGATCATTTCCCGGAGCTGAATTATGCAAAATAACTCTCGACTCTGCAAGGTCCTATCCTTCCTTAAATACTTATTTGTCAAGTTCGAGCCTAGTTTGTGGGTGATGGGTGGACTTGATGGTCCACTACAGTCTCAATTTTTCGCAGCCATCTTCAGCCATCATAACATTAGACTAAGCGGAATGTAAATTTGAGATCTTCCAATATCTGCATTACTTCTTCTCATGCTCTCAATTATTCGTATCAAAGTGATGCCGAATCGGCCAGCTTGCTGATCTTGAAAATCCGCTGGTGGAGACACGGCTGTGTAGACCTACCAAAGTGATATTCACAATCAACAAATGAATTTAGATAGTCATGAATTTATCCAAAGAATTGACAGTATCCAACTCTCATATTCCCAACTCTGACTTTTTTTCACGCTGGCAGATCTGTTGATTGTAGTACTTCTTCCGTATTCCACTACTTGTACTCTCTGCAGTGCACACCAGATTTGACAGTAACTAACCGCACACAACCACAAAACAGTGATCCTGCCACACCGCTTGTGTACTACGGCGCCACATAGAGACATTGCGATCTAAGCATAGAAGCAGCCCTGTTTGTCCTGTTATTTCATTGAAATTGCTCAACGCCTATATTTGTGGCGGCATACAACTACAAACCCATCTCAAGATCATAGACATCAAGATATACATTCGAATCCCAGCATAAGACACTATTCATGGACAATCCTTTCAACTCAAGGGATTCACCTGCCCCTGGGGGCTCGAGGGATTCCAATTCAAACCCATTGGAGACACCCAGATCCCCTTCAAGGTCGACCAGAAGTCTCTCACCACCTAAACCAGGAGATCAGTATGGGGCTTTTCCTTCGACGTCTCCCAGACGTCGCTATAATGGACGCACATTGTTCAGCGATCGATACATACCGAACAGAACTGGTATAGACCTCCAGGCAGCGTTCAGTTTGAGTAACCAGGAGGTTATGCCAGATCTTCGGGCTTCTCGGAGTTCTGGAGCTGGAAACATTCAATCAGGTTCAGCTGAGGAGCGTGATACCAATGAAATTGAAATGAGAAAAGAAGAGGAGGCCAATCGGTCGTTTTCCAGTGTTCTCAAGGCTGAGCTTTTTGGAGACCATGTTCCAATGGCTACGGCAGATCTCTCACGAAACAGATTGGGGCAAGACAAGAACGATTCTTCCACAAACTTAAGATCATCTAATCATGCATCAACTACAATGTCTTCCGCTGGCGGAAACTCATCCTCGGGTCGTACCACTCCCCCTAGAACTACAGGATCTGGTGTTGCATCTACTCCTCGTCTGAGCGCAAACATGTTCACATACCAGCTGCCGAGTAAACAGCGCCCAATCTCGCGGGATCTCCAGCTGGAGCTCTTTTCATTATCTCCTGTTCGGTCTGAATCTCAGAAATTCCTTCTCAGTCCCCAAAAGAAGCCAAGAAACATTTCAAAAGTTCCGTACCGTGTCCTAGATGCTCCCGAACTTTCAGATGACTTTTATTTAAATTTGGTGGACTGGGGCTCGCAAGACGTACTTGCCGTCGGTCTCGGTGACTCTGTCTACCTCTGGGACGGTCTGACACAATCTGTTGAAAGACTTTGTGTTTTGGATCAAAAAGATAAAGTTACCTCCCTCAGCTGGATTGGGTCTGGTACTCATCTAGCTGTTGGAACGCTGAAGGGTCTTGTCGAGATTTGGGATGCTACGAAAACCAGATGTGTGCGTACCATGACGGGCCATAAACTACGAGTCAGTGCTTTGGCATGGAACGAACACATCTTGTCCAGTGGTTCACGAGACAGAACAATTTATAACAGAGATGTGAGAATCCTGGACCATTACGTGAACTGCTTCGAGCACCACAAACAAGAGGTTTGCGGACTCAAATGGAACGTTGAGGAGAACAAGCTTGCCAGTGGTGGTAACGATAACAATCTTTTCATCTGGGATGCACTTAACACCAAGCCTTTGCATCAATTCACCGAGCACAACGCCGCAGTCAAGGCAATTGCATGGTCACCACACCAACGAGGCATCTTAGCATCTGGAGGCGGAACTGCTGATAAGACTATTAAGGTATGGAACACTCTCACTGGTAACAGGATAAACAATGTTGAAACCGGCTCCCAAGTGTGCAATTTGATCTGGTCCAAAAACTCAAATGAACTTGTCCTGACTCACGGGTACTCGCGGAATCAGATCATCGTGTGGAAATATCTGTCAATGCAGCAGATTGCGCAGCTTACAGGTCATACCTACAGAGTATTATATTTATCGATATCCCCAGATGGAGAAACCATTGTGACCGGGGCGGGTGATGAGACACTCCGGTTTTGGAATGTTTTTGAAAAAAACAGGAACAACGAGCCCCCCACATCGGTGCTTTTAGATGCATTTCTGCGGTTACGATGAGCATTAACTTGCAGTACCCCAACGTCTTTCAATCGTGGAGAGCATATCGGAGTTCTCCAAAAAATTTACCCCACCAAGCCCAAAAAAACATGAATGCCGTATAATAAAAAGTTTGAACCTCCAACGGCAATTGGCGCCGAATCACCGTTTTCGCACCAGGGCTACAAAGGGTAACTACGAAGCGTCGAGATAGGCCTCCGCGATACGGTGCCGCGCATGAATTACTCAGACAGTGCTGTATAAAGATTGACATACTCGCTCTTCCGTCCCACCACATTTTTTACCGATTGCAGACGAAATGACGAAGCCACAAGCCAAGGATCTCTCTCATTTGTTGTCGGAGGAAGCTAAGTCCAGAAAGAACTCTCCTTTGAAAGGAGCTTTCAAGTATTTCAACCAACCCGGGATGACTTTCTTGGGTGGTGGATTACCGCTTTCCGACTACTTCCCATTCAACAGAATGGAGTTGGACGCCCCAAGCGCCCCATTCCCCAATGGAATTGGTGCCCAGGCTACCGATGAGGACAAGACTGTCATTGAAGTTTACAAAGACAAGACGAAAAACGACCCCAAGACCAAGGATGTCGAGTTGTCCAGATCATTGCAGTACGGTTTCACCGAGGGTGCCCCAGAGCTTCTCAACTTCTTGAAGGAGCACACTGAGACCATTCACAAGGTGCCATACGATGGCTGGTCTGTGATCTCGAGTATCGGTAATACCCAGTCCTGGGACGCTGTCTTGAGAACTTTCGTTACCCGTGGTGATGCCATCTTGGTTGAAGAGCACACCTTCCCCTCCGCATTGGAAACCGCTCATGCTCAGGGAGTTACCACTGTCCCTGTTGCTATGGATAGTGAGGGTCTCCTTCCAGAAGCCTTGGAGAAAACCTTGGACCAATGGGTCGGTCCTAAGCCTAAGTTATTGTACACCATCTGTACTGGTCAGAACCCCACCGGTTCTTGTTTGAGTGCTGAGAGAAGAAGAGCTATCTACAAGCTTGCTCAGAAGCACGACTTCATCGTCATTGAGGATGAGCCATACTACTTCTTGCAGATGGAGCCTTACACCGAGAACTTGGAAGAGAGATCCAAGAAGCATGTTCATGACCATGACGAGTTTGTGAAGGCCTTGGTGCCTTCCTTCCTCTCGATGGATGTCGAGGGTCGTGTTATCAGATTGGACTCGGTTTCCAAGACCATCGCGCCAGGTACTAGATTTGGCTGGATCGTCGGACAGGAGAAGTTGTTGGAGAGATTTGTCAGATTGCACGAAGTGTCCATTCAATGCCCATCCGGTTTCGCTCAATCTGCGTTAAACGGTTTGTTCCAGAGATGGGGTCAAAAGGGCTACTTGGACTGGTTGATTGGTTTGAGAGCCGAGTACACCCACAAGAGAGATGTCGCCATTGACTCTTTGCACAAGTACTTCCCTAAGGAGGTCGTGCAGATCTTGCCTCCTGTGGCTGGTATGTTCTTCGTTGTCCAAATTGATGCAAGCAAGCACCCCAAGTACAAGGAGTTTGGTGAGAGCGCATTGAGAGTTGAGGAGTCAATTTATAGAAAGGGTTTGGAGAAGGGAACCTTAATCATTCCTGGCTCGTGGTTCAAGGCTGACGGCCAGACCAACCCTCCACAACCCCCTACTCCAAAGGATCCTGCTCTCGAGAAGTTCATTTTCTTCAGAGGTACCTACGCCGCTGTGCCATTAGACGAATTGGAGTTTGGTTTGAAGAAGTTCGGAGGCGCTGTTCACGAGGAATTTGGTTTGTAACTTTAAAAGTAGCACTCAGTTTGAAGCATTGTAGTCGCAGTAGTATTTCGCAGCCAGTACACACAGAACTCAACTCCAACTACTAATGCACATCATAAAGCTACCGTGGCTAGGCCATCGAGGTATGTTACTATTTCTTTAAATAACTAACTCATCTAACAACAGCCGAAAATAAGTTTATAGAATGCTACGCCACAAGCATCAATCCCAATGGCACAAGACTCGCTACAGGAGGTTTGGACGGAAACGTCAAGATATGGGATACCAAACTGATCCTACGATACAAGGATTACCAACCTGAAGAAGGAGAGAACGATGTTTTGAAGGACAAGATGGACATTGACGAGCAGCCACATGAGCTAAAACGACCTGTTGCTTCTATGTCTAGACACAACGGAGCGGTAACGTGTGTGAAATTCTCACCAGACGGGAAGTTTCTAGCCTCAGGCTCTGATGACAAGATTGTTCTTATCTGGGAAAAAGACGAGGAGCAGGCAAATCGACCAAAACAGTTTGGTGAAACTGAGGCTGACCTAGAGCACTGGATGGTGAGAAAGAGACTAGTGGCCCACGACAATGATGTTCAGGATATCTGCTGGTCGCCAGATGGATCGTTGTTGATCACTGTGGGTTTGGATCGTTCGATCATTATCTGGAGCGGAACGACTTTTGAAAGAATCAAGCGTTACGACATACACCAGTCCATGGTGAAGGGTATAGTGTTCGACCCAGCTAACAAGTTCTTTGCAACGGCTTCGGACGATAGAACTGTCAGGATCTTCCGCTATTCAAGAAAACTCAATGATACATCGATGAACAATTACGAGTTCCAAGTTGAGCATATCGTCATGGACCCATTCAAGAAGTCACCTCTTACCTCGTACTTCAGAAGGATGTCTTGGTCCCCAGATGGACAGCACATTGCAGTTCCAAACGCCACGAATGGCCCTGTCAGTGCCGTCGTTATCATCAACAGAGGCAATTGGGCCACTGATGTGTCTTTGATTGGACATGAGGCACCTTGTGAGGTCTGTTCCTTCTCTCCTCGTCTTTTCCGTCAGGACAGTACCAAATCAGACCAGTACATGACAATTCTTGCCACAGGTGGTCAAGACAGGACACTAGCAGTGTGGAGTACTGGCAGGACGAAACCCTTGGTGGTAGCAGAGGAAGTGGTGGAGAATGCAATCACCGATATTTGTTGGGGTCCCGACGGACAGTCGCTATTCCTCACTTCGCTAGATGGCTCGGTCACATGTGTCATTTTTGATGACAAGGAGCTCGGTGAAATTGTCGCTGAAGACGTAAATGACTCCCAATTACTACGCTACGGTGGAGATAGAGAATCGACTGTGTTTGCTGAAAGCGCACAGCAACTTGAGCTCGAAGAGCTTGCGGCTAAACAGGAATCAGCAGTACCTGCTCGTCCAACGACACCAAAGCTAGAACCAAAGGTGAAGACTGAGGATGACTTCACCACTGCCCCCTCCACTCCCCATAAGCCCAAGGAAGAACCACAGGCTACCAAGAAGATCAGCAGTCGAACACAAAGTGTCAAGATCACCAAAGACGGAAAGAAACGAGTTGCCCCTATGCTTATATCGTCAGCTGCGGCCCCGAAGACGAGCAGTTCCTTTTCGCAACCATCAGTTAAATCCGCCAGAAAGTTTGACATCAGCAACAAGGTCTCACAGACTCCTTATCACCTACCACGACTTGGTGTCCAAACAAGCGTCCATGGACTTCGACAGCGTGATAGTGCCCATGGAGATGATGCGCTGAAGGCGAATGAGGACCAAGACAACGATAATGAAGACATTGGAATGGACGACCCTAACGCAACTCACAGCTCATACAATGGAGGAACATTCAGAAAGAAAATGAAACGCTACAGAAGGTGGCTCATGAAGCACAAATACCCCACGCCATTCAAGTTCGTTTCCGATTTACCTAATGTTCTTTTCAGAAACGCAGATATGATGAACCATGAGCTAAGCAGTCTCATCCAGAAAAAGGATGTCGTCAACTCTCAAGAAATTATCAACCCTTCATCGATTGAAGCTGTTGACGAAAACATCATGTTTCAAGTTGTCGTGAAGTCGGTTCAATATTTGCATAAAACTCCAAAGTATTTGGAAAGAGTCTCCAACGGCGATAGTGACGAGCTTATCTCGTCTATAGTTGAGGTGAGAAACGGCTCTGCTTGGCCAGAGGATGATGCCTCGTTAAACGCCGATTACGCTCAGCGGTTGGACTTTCAAGATCCAACGCAAGTTATTGTCACCAACAACGAGAAAAGTGAAACCAGGGACTACATTGTCTACTTTCCTTTTAGGATCCAACAGGTTGTGCCTATTTTGTTCGATGACAGTCTATTTTACTATGTGTTGATTTCGTTCGATGGAGCCATACAAATAGTCTATGCCGACTCGGGCAGTTATTTAACACCCCAACTTGAAATCGGCAGCAATATTGTTTTTGCGAAACAGAGCGGACGGTACCTTCTCGTTTTGACGAGTTCTGGTCTTCTATATGTCTGGGAATTCTTTGGCACAAGTTACCAGAATATTAAGGGCTCGTTGAAAGGTGTTTCAATTGCCGCTGTTATAAACAGTGAGACAGTTCTACCCAAGATCGATCCTGATTCTACCAAAAAGGGGGTGAACCCATCGGTGGTGGTGGAGGTTGTGAGGTCTGTTGATGTTGATCCAGACACCGGAGCTCCATACATCACCTTACAGAATGCCAACTCTGTCTACACATACAACAGTGATATGATGGTCTGGCTCAAGGCCGTGGAACCATGGTACTACCTTGCTTTGCAAGAAGCTGATTTACAAGTTGGGTCACCACTTTTGCAACTGCTCCTCACGAAAACGTATACCTCCAACCTCGAACAGATAGAGAGAGGCAAGAGAAGCAGGTATACGTTCAATGAACAGAACAAGGAGCTTGAGGAGAACATGAAGCTGCGATTCAATGAGCAAGTGGAGCTTGTATGATCTACAGGGACCAGTATAGTACAATGCTTTGGCTGTTGAGCCTGCTGTGCAGCAGGGAATGATTATATAATACAATGCAGCGGCTACTCGGCCTTGACTGGAGAGTCCTCTTTGGGGTCTTGTTTGACTGGCGCATCAACCAGGGGCAGAAGGTAGAACAGCACAATCAGGGCGACTGAGCCCAAGACAGAGTTGACAGCCATCATCCAGATGGTCAAGCCAACACCACCGATCGTGACAAAAGGCAAGGCCAAAACCCACTCCACGTAGTATGGGAACACGCCTGGTGGGAAATAGAACAAGATGGCTTTGCGATACCACACCCTGGAAAACCAGACGGGTGCAGCTGTCAGTAGTGATATAAGTACACCTATGGCTTTGGTGAACTTGAGCTTCTCAGCAGAAACAGCGTCAGTCAAATTAGAAACTTCGCCGTTGAGCTTGTCGAACTGACGATTGAGTTTTGTCCACTTGGCGTACTCGTCCTGAGCACTAACAGCTTTCCTCTGTTTGTTGATCTCCACCAATTCGGCCCTTCTCTTGGAGAGCTCCAAGAACTGGGCATGGCCAGCCTTACTGGCTATGGACGTGTACAAATTCCAGGCGGCATTTTCTATGTTTGCCTTGCCAACGGACTTCACGATGGTCTTCAAAAGAAGCGCAACAAATACAAATAGGAGAATGCTCAGCGGCTTAAGGTCTAGCATGATGTGGTTGGGCAAGCACTCTCACTCACTCGGAGGGCTTTAACAAGAGGGTGGATTGGTCACGTGCCGCCCGCGAGCACACAATTTTTATCTCCCTCCCCATCAAAGACAGCTGCCGCAAAGAGCCCCCCAACATTCCATACAATATGTCCAGCGACCCCGAGGACGACTACGTTCCGTGGATCCAGCAGTTCTGCGAGGCATTCGGCCACGACTACTTTGTGCCTGTGACCCAGGATTTCATAGAAGACGACTTCAACTTGACTGGGCTATCACTGCAAGTGCCATACTACCGAGAAGCCTTATACACCATTTTGGACTATCAGGTAGAGACTGCCGAGGACAACGGCGGTGGCGGCTCGGGCTCCCTGAACGGGAAGGGCAAGAATGACTTGCCCAACAAGGCATTACTATCACACTCAGCCGAGCTTTTGTATGGTCTCATACACGCACGCTACATCGTTTCAAAGGGCGGCATGACTGCCATGGCCAGCAAGTTCGAGCGTTCCGAATTCGGCATTTGTCCTCGTTACTACTGTGACGGCATGCATCTTATTCCCGTCGGTGCCACCGACATACCGGGTCAGGAGACCGTCAGGTTGTACTGTCCCTGCTGCAACGACATCTACTTGCCACTGAGCCTGCGCTACTTGAATATAGACGGGGCCTATTTCGGCACAACTTTCCCCGGCTTGCTTGTCAAGATGTTCCCAGAAATCGAAAACCAATGCAAGCTTCGGATCAATAAGGTCAACCAAGACAACTTTGGCTTGCGCTTGTTTGGCTTCCGAATCCATGAGTCCAGCGCCAGCGGGCCTCGCATGAAATGGTTACGGCAGTTTCCCGTGGGGCCTGAAGAAAAGAAGGAGTTTGACGATTGTGAACTCACCATACCGGCTGTGGTTGACAGCGACTACGAGATTACCGCTTCCGAGGACCTCCAGGGCGAGGCCGATCTTGACGACGACAGAACGATGGCCAGCGAGGGCATGTAGGGCTGGCAGCAATGCCGTCAATGTCTGGCGAAGTTTCCGGCTTCCCGGGCTACTGTACTATATATCAACATAAACCAGAGGCTCGTTGACCCGACCTCACGTACGGTGACTTTCAGGGCACCATGCCCTTTCGAAGTAGCTTCATGACTACTGGGTCTGTGGTCAGAGCTTTCTGGTCTCTGATGAGGGTGCTAGCGACGATAGAGCACAATAGAATAGGGTTTAAAGATATACATTACGACATGAGCATAGGCTTTGTATGTTTTGAAGTATTTAGAAATTCTCTGTAGTATTATTGTGCTTATTAATCGTATATTAGCACGGCGCTGAATAAGTTTTATTTCATTAATGAGTCAAGTGGACAGGCTTGCCGGGCTCCCATTCCTTGATGCCATTGGCAATATTCATCCAGTACTTTAATCTAATTGTCTCGATCAAGATGTCATTCCATGGCACAGGCTCGGTTTTGAACAAACGTTCCAATTTCTCTTCGCTTTCTTCTACCCTTTCGTCATTCTCCACAGCCAAAGACTCCAAGTCACCCTCATTCGCAGCCATCTCGAGCGATTCGTGAGCATCTAGCACTGTCATTAGTAGCATTTTATAGTCCAAAGTGTACTCGGACGAGGACTGCTGAAACTTCGCAATTAGGTCTTTTGATGTCTCGTCTTGTGTGATGTCAAGCTTCTCAGGGTGCTGGATTTTGATAAGGTAGGCTGCCCTAGTGTATGGATTCTTGATCGTCGAGTAGGCCCTATTTAAAAGTGCAGAAATCTGGTTGTCACTTTTTGCCTCTTCGCCTTCACCATTCAGGAGTGATGCTGAACCCATCACAATGTCCGGATGGTTCTGGCTCTGAAGACCCCTGTGTTCTCTTCTTAGCAGTCTGTCATTGATAATGAAGGAGTCCTTGGGAGGGCCACCTTGAGGAAATGTTTTTGGATAAAGCTCGAAATAGCTTTTGACGTGAGCTGCATAGCTCCTTCTTGCCGATTTTAAGAGCCCTTGGGCAGCATTGTGCCGAATTGAGCGCCACATGGTAGAGAAGCAGTTGCTCTTAGTCAGATCTGCTCGGACTTTGTGGGGCCTATTGATGATTTACGTACAGGTCAGAGACGATTTGGCTAGAACGATGAAGGCCTTGATTGAGGAAAAAAATCACAATAATTAGGCTTGGATAGCGATAAGATTGACTTGAATTACTATCTAGTATCAGGTGATGCTGTGGTCGGTCGTGGACTCGAAAAGTTGGAGTTGAGGTAATCATTGGTGGCTAGAACACAATTGATAAGTCAGATGAAGTTATGGATAGCTATTTTTCAATAAGGAGGAGATACTTTCAAGGCACGTCATACTAATGGTATGCTTGATCAAAAAGACATCGATAGAATGATAGGCAAATCAATAATGAGCTTGAAGGAAATGGCTGCGAAAAGTAACTCCATATGGTTTTAATTGAGTACCACATGGAATCCTTGAGCAAAAACATATCTTCTCAAAAGGTTTATTGTTTCCATTAGAGATCCAAATGATTGAGTGACTCCCATCATGGAAATACTGAAAACTTGTGTATGTCGTTCGACCTTCGGCGAGCTTCTTCAAACTCCGGGTTGAGCGACCAAAACAGGAAGGAAATAAGATCCACCGAGTCAAGGATTGCAACTTCCTTTCTTAATCCAAAAACTTGCTTTGTGTGACCGTTTTTCCTACAACCGTTGAAAGTTTCCTCATTACAACTACAGAGTTGGTGGTGCCTCGTAGGTGCACTCTATAAGCACGGACTAAGGTAATACAACTTAAAAAATCTCAAAAGAGAAACAGACATTATGTTAACGCTGTTCCGACTTACTCAAAACTTTGAACAAATTCTCAATTTTTTTTTTCTTTGACGCTGTAACTTACTAAACTAGTAACATTTGCACCCATTACCTGGGCCCACCGCGCCTGAGGTGACGGTTCACACACGACCGTGTGTTGTCCTCTCACAAACGACGAGTTTTTTTCAGATCACATATTGAAGGAAACAAATCAACAAACAGGAACAATTGTCCACACGCCATCGCTCCTTCCTTGTTCATTTGTTGGTTTGTTTCGTTGTTTGCTTTCGTCTCGTCATCCATTTTTTTATTTTATCCCAACGCGTTTCGTTGTCTTTTAGTACCCAAAGTCACTTGAATAACATTGCAACACACAGATGGAGTTTGATGAACAAGAAGAGCTTAACGGTGTCCGTTTCGCCTGGAACACGTTTCCGTCCACAAAAGCAGAACTGGCCAAGATAGTTGTACCAACGGGTGTCTTGTACACGCCTTTAAAATATAGACCAGGCATGATGGTGGTTGGCCACGATCCAATCCTCTGTCACCTGCCAAGTTGTCGAGCAGTTTTGAACCCATACTGTACCATTGATCCTTCCGGCTTCTGGATTTGTCCGCTTTGTGGTACCCGTTCCCCGTTGCCTCCAAGCTATCATGGCATGACTCAGGAAAACTTGCCAGAGGAGTTGAAGGGCACCTCCTCCACCATGGAATACGTCACATCCAAGCCAGTGCAGCATCCTCCAATTTTCTTGTTCGTGGTGGACTTGTGTCAGGATGAGGACAACTTAAGGGCATTGAAGGAAACGTTAGTGATATCGCTTTCATACCTTCCTCCAAATGCTTTAGTGGGCTTAATAACATACGGCTCCATTGTCCAGGTCTACGACTTGGGCGCAAGCACCGTCAACAAGTCTTACATTTTCCGTGGAGACAAGGATTACACAGAGAAGCAGGTGGCTGATATGTTGAATAAGCCTGTGATTGCTCAGCCAGGTCAGATAGGTATTCAAAGCTCCTTGCAAAGATTCTTCTTGCCAATTGAGGACATTGAGCATCAGTTGACTTCTCTTCTTGAGAACTTGACCCCAGACCCTTGGCCTGTTGCTCATGGTGACAGAGCCAATCGCGCTACCGGTTCTGCTATCAACGTGGCTGCCAACTTGCTTGGTAGTACCTTCTCTGGTTTCGGCGCAAGAATCTTCTTGTTTTCCGCTGGCTCTTGTACGCTCAACCCAGGTATGATTGTTGGTCCCAAATTGAAGGAGGCTATCAGATCTCACTCCGACATCGACAAGGAGAACGCTAAGCATTATAAGAAGGCCGTGAAGTTCTACGAGAGCATCGCCGCCAGAGCAGTGAAGCATGGCCACACAATTGATTTGTTTGGTGGATGCTTGGACCAGGTCGGCTTCTTGGAAATGAAGTCCATGTGCTCAAATACTGGTGGTGTGTTGTTGTTGTCTGATGCCTTCACAACCTCTATTTTCAAGCAATCTTTCTTGAAACTTTTCAGCAAGGATGACCATGACTTCTTGCTCATGGGTTTCAATGGCACCCTTGATATCAAGTGCTCCAGAGAATTGAAGGTCAGTGGGTTGATCGGCCATGCATCTTCATCTAAGGTCAAATCTCCAAATGTTTCTGAAAACGAAGTGGGTATTGGAGGCTCTTCAAAATTCAAAATGTGCTCACTCACTCCACAAAGCACGCAAGCCATATTTTTCGACGTTGTCAACAACCTGCCATTGCCACCAAACGCACAATCATACATTCAATTCATCACGCACTATCAGCATGCCTCTGGCACCTACAGAATTAGAGTCACAACTGTCTCTAATATTCTAACGGGCGATGAGCAGACTTTGACGCAGTCCTTTGACCAAGAAGCGGCTGCAGTCTTGATGGCAAGAATCACCTTGTTCAAGTCAGAACAAGATGATGGCGCAGATGTCTTGAGATGGATCGACAGAATGTTGATCAAATTGTGTCAAAAGTTCGCAGATTACAGAAAAGATGTTGAAGCCTCCTTCAGATTGCATCCACAATTCAGTTTCTTCCCACAGTTCGTGTTTTACTTGAGACGTTCTCAGTTCTTGCAAGTCTTCAACAACTCGCCCGATGAGACTGCGTTCTATAGACACGTTCTTTTGACGGAAGACTGCGCTAACTCCTTGCTTATGATTCAGCCAACCTTGACCGCATTTGCGCTCGATTTAGAAGCCCCAGAGCCAGTGTTGTTGGACTCCGTTTCCATCAAGGATGACAGAATCTTGCTCTTAGACACTTTTTTCCACATCTTGATATTCCACGGCAAAACCATTGCCAACTGGCGCAAGGCTGGTTACCAAGACCAGGAAGAATACTCGGACTTCAAAGCCTTATTGGATGAGCCTAAGCTAGAAGCAGGTGAGTTGTTGGTTGACCGTTTCCCATTGCCCAGATTTATTGATACCGAGGAAGGCGGTTCGCAGGCCAGATTCTTGTACTCCAAGTTGAACCCTAGTACTTCTTACAACTCCGAGGAATTTGCGCCTGGTGCCGTTGTCTTGACTGATGACGTTTCTTTGCAGGTGTTTATGTCGCACTTGCAGAAGTTGGTGGTCTCTGGATCCAACTAACTTTTCTCGAGAAACATTTCCTCATGAATAGTCATAAAATTGCCACAGGATAAAAAAAAGTGGTATCTTGAAGTAGGAATAAAATATTAATGCTCCGACTTTTAATCGTAATGTAGATTTTGCCAGACCTGCACTTACAAGTTGATATCAATACTGTCTCGCATCCTACTTACAATTCATCAACCTTCATGTCCGGTCCAGAACAGCTAAGTGCTGGTATGTTACTCCTAATACTTAGTGTTTTTTGTATATTTTCTAACAAACAGATGAGATTGCCCTTTATGACAGACAGATCCGTCTTTGGGGAACAGATACACAACTTCGATTGAGATCCGCCAGAGTCTTGGTGGTGAACTTAGGTGGTATCGGCTCAGAAACAGTGAAAAATTTGGTTCTTGGTGGTCTCAATACCATAGAAATACTTGATGGCTCTGTTGTTAAAGAAGAAGACTTTGCGGCCCAGTTCTTCTTACCTAACGACGACAGCATAGTTGGTCAACAAAAGCTTCCTTTGGTCTTGCCAAAGATTCAGGAGCTTAATCCTAGAGTCAATCTACTGATAAACACCACGAACCCCAAGGATGTTCCCCTCGACTACTACAAAAACTTTGACTTGGTCGTGGCTACTGAGTTGACAAAGCCACAGTTGTTTGCGATTAATCAAATCACTAGAGAGCACAGAATCCCATTATACGTGGCTGGCGAACATGGAATGTTTGGCTACATATTCTCTGATCTCATTGAACATACTTCAACGAAAGAAAGCCCAATTGGAAACCAAGCAAAAGTGGCTGGTACCAAGATAAATGGCGTCAAAGAAATCGTCAATGTCGAGTGGAAGAATAACGACGAGACTGAAATTGTCACTACTCGCGATACATTCTCGCCCTTGCAGCAAATATTTGACTCCAAGAGGCTCTCTCTTCAACTCAACAGGAGACAACTCAAAAGGCTCTCAGGTGCATTGCCTCTTGTTCTTTCACTTTTTGACATAGAACGTCCATCTAATGTCGAAGATGATGTCGACAGAAAGCTCTTGCTAGATCAGGGAAACACCGTTTGTGAAAGCTTAGGTATTTCTCAGGAAGTGCTCAGTGACGAGTACCTAGATCTCTTCAGCAGACAAGCGTTCACTGAGTTCTCCCCTGTGGCTGCTATAATAGGAGGGTTCCTCGCACAAGACATAATCCAGTTCTTTGGTAAAAAGGACAGTCCCATCAATAACTGTTTGATTTTCGATGCCATTAGATCTGAGGCGCCTATATACTATTTGTAATATTAACGATTATTGGGAGTAAGACCCCTGCCCTTGCGGCTTTTTAGATGCGAAGTATCTTTCAAAAACTTCAAAGATTTCACTAGTTTTGTCTTGAGCAATGTGTTCTCTTCCTTGGCTCCATCAATTCCACTCTTGCTGTCTAGTCTTCTCTTCTTGAAAGTATCGTTCTCTTCCTCTTCAGATTGACGAGCTGACTCGATTTGCGTCCCAAGTTCGGCAATCTTTTCACGAACAGCGGACACTTGCTCCTCCGATTGCTTGATGGAGGTTTCACAATTCTCGATCTCCTTCTTCGTGTAGCTCAATTCATCATTCTTCGTCTGTACCTTGAGTGCTTTTTCTTTCACTTCATTTTGCAACTCCCAGATCTTGAGCTGATTCTCCACAAAAGTCTTCTTGATGTCATTATTTGTCACATTTTCAGACTCGCTAAACTTCTTTAGCTTCTCTTTGTCTTGTTCGATCTCCATCTTCAAAATCTCCATTTCCTCTTGTCTCTTAAGAAGCTTCTTCTCATTGACCTGAATTCTTTGCTCAACATGATCGACATCGGAAACAATGCTGGTGAGGGATTTCTTCATGTCATCAATTCTTCTGCCAATCTTGCTCTGACGCTCATCCTTATTATACTCAATATAACAGTGATATTCTTCCTCAATCTTAGCTAAGTCGAGATATCCAGCGTTCAATTCCAAGATAAGTTTGTGGGTAAGAATGGTGCGATCTTTTCCTCTCCTCTTGGAAACCGCCTCGTGATTGTGAATGCCACTGAGGATGTTGTAATCATTTTTTAATGGGTTGGTGACATAGTCCAGCTGAAGTCTTTTTGTCTGATAATAGCTTTTACATTTCGCAGATGCCTCAATTGCAGCCTCATTGGAGTCGTAAGGCGTGTAGTGGTACACAACCTCTGTGAGCAATGATCTCTCAACGTCAGTAGGGGAGAATCTCGGAATTTGGGGCAACTCGGGTAGAGGCCATGAAGGAAATGAGCGAATGTCACGACGGAAGACGTGATCAAAGAATGTATGTGACAAGTATGTGAGGCTTTGGTTGTAAATGGGGAAGATGTCCGGTTGAAGATTGCCAATTCGGTCCCTCAAGCAAACAATCGACGAAATGAGCTTGTACAAGTATGAAGACTCGCCCTCGATACCTCTGTAGTGAAGCAAACAATGTTCGATGGAATAGATTGGTATGAGTCTGACCATCAGACATTCCTCGCCTCGGCGCTTTTGCTGCCTGAGGTTCTTGAAGAACTGTGTCAGTGTATCGACATGGCCGTCCATGACAATGATGCAGTCGAACTTCACATTTTCCAACTCGGCCTCGTTTCTCGTGAGCTGGCCGTCTTGCGGAATCATATGGATGGTGAGTGGAGGAGCTGCCTTTGCATTATTCTTATTATTCTTGGTATTCTCCCTCTTTATGCTGTTTCCCACGTATCTCTGAACGACCTTTGATCCTCGACAGCCAAGTATGAGCGCCTCTAGCAAATCCATCTCTCTAACGTTATTGTTCATCACCATTCCCACGTGTTTGGGAAGAGGCGAGACCTTGTTGGACACAATGACATTTATAAGGTCTTTAATGACATTGAACTTTCCGCTTGTCTCGGCCAATTTGGCGGGGAGATCTCTCATTGAGAGGTTCTTGGGCATGTAGTGCTGGATAAGAAGGTATGGGTGGGTAGCCACAAGCATACAGTTTTCGACGCATATTTGCAACGACTTTATAATGAGCTCCGTCGTGTCGTTTGTCTCGCAGTATTTCAAAATATCCGAGTAATGTAATGAGACAATCTGGTCGGTGAGCTCTTTCTGGAACTCGAACATGGGAGTGGGCAAATTGTACTCGCCTGATTTGTTGATCTCGTCTAAGTGCAAGTCGACAATCGGAGGCTCGGGTACACTATCCAATATACTGTGCAAGTCCATTTTTCGTTGTTCTCCAGTTTAGCGTGTAGTGTTGAAGTAGTAACTGCAACCGTTTTTTTCGCACATATTGCGATAAGCGAACCCGGCATGCACCACAGCTTCTGTTGAGTTATGGTCGGCTGGTACCAATGTTTGTAGAAAAATTTAATGTTTGATTTACTGTAAACGTGCAAAGTAAATGTTTTCTCTGGAAAAGCCATGTGATATTGCAGTTTGTGTGCTAATAGTTGTACTCTTCATGCCTTGTTGTAAGAGGGTCCAGTAGACGCACCCTATATCTGGGGTGGTCGACACAACCAACTGAAGCATTTCAATACTCTCACCTACATCAAATCAAACTCAACTAATCCCACAAATTAACCCATTATATTTTAGACCATGTCTTGACCGTTCTGTCCCAGCCACAGCTCACTATGTACAGCCCATCTTTTCCAATGTCACAGCTCATGACCTTGTCGTTGTGACCCTTCAATGTCCGCACGTTGATCCAGTTATCTGCGGACCATAATTTAACGGTTCCATCGTAGGAGCTCGTAGCAAGAAAGGTTCCAGAGGGGCTCAATTTTGATGGATGCTCCTCATTTTCATCAGTAACTTGCGATACTAAAGAACTATCTTGGCCTTTGAAGAACCTGACCTCGCTGACAAGTTTGGTATGTGCTGGTATCAGAAAGAGCTCTATTCTGTCGTTGGCGTTGCTAAGCTTACGCAAGTCCCATATTTTTGTAGAGCAGTCACCGCTTGCTGATGCCAAGTGGTGACCATTTGGCGACCAATCCATGGAATATATCCCTTGAATGTGACCTTCTAGAGTGGCAATGGACCTACCAGAACGCAAGTCCCAAATTCTTCCCACACCATCGAGGTCTCCAGTTGCAAATAAACTGCCATCTGGATGCATAGCGCAACCAAAAACCTCTTTAGAGTGGCCCTCCTGCTCTAGAAGCTCTTGCTCCTTGTTTATATCCCAAAGCTTCCATGTCTGGTCGAAGGAGGTGTTGGCAAGGTATTTTCCGCTGGGATGGAAAGCAAGTTTTGGAATTCTGCCCTCGCTCGCTTCACGAAACCTAGTCTGTGGTTTGAGGTTTTCGTCGTCGATGTATTTCCAGATGTTGATCGATCCCTCCTGACCTCCTGTGGCGATCAACGAAGTATCCGTAGGATGCCAATCCATCGCACCAACCTTTTCTGAGTGGTAGCCATGACCCAGCTTGCCCACCTGACGAAGATTGAGCTCTTCATCTTTTTGGAAGAAATAGACGTTTCCATCCCAAGAGCCGCATGCAACAACTGTGTTATCATTATTCACCCTCACCGATGAGATTGCACGAGTGTTACCTTTGATAACATTCGTTCCGTTCAACTCGTACTCTCCAAGACTTTTATTTATGTGACGGCGATGCTTCAATGTTTTGAATGAGTCGTAGCTCTTGGCCTCCTCCTTTTGTCGGTTCACTCTAGCAATTGCAAGACTCACTGACGATCGTAGTATGCTCTTCCGGACCTCTTCTAGTTCCTCAGTGCCTGGTGTGTAAAATTCTTCCTCGTCATCTTCTTCCATACTTGAATCGCTGTGTTCCACTTCAGCAAATTCAAAATTTGTATGAGGTCTTTCTTCAAGAAGCCTTTGTAGACGGATCCGTCTTTCTGGAGGCCCTTCTCCAAAGAGAGTAATAGGTTCTCCGAGCTTTCGTAGCTCAACTTTGACCTCTGAGTCTATAGTAGGAACGTCTAGAGATGAAATTTGGGATCCATTGTTTCTGGGATCATTGACGACCGGAATCGACATGAGGGTGTAGTTGATGCTTATAGCTGGGACAGAAGCGCTTTAGTATGAGGTCATGTGACTCCGAAACAAAATTGGCTTACGAACAGCAAATCTGATGGAATTTAGTGAAAAAAAGGATATTTATATAACAAGACTATAGCTTCCTAAAAAATCAACTTTTTACGGTGAGTCGTGCCAGCACTTTGTGCGTTTCTTCGCCTTCGCCATATTAACCTTTGGCTGCGAAAAATGTCTCAGTGGTTACCAGTGACAATTCTCTCGGCAAACTGGCCAAAGTTTTCGGTGTCGTTGACCATTTCGTCCAAGTCAGGCTGGCAGAATACCGCCAAAGTGTTTCTCGCAATATGGGGGATGCTCGTGCCCTGGACATAATGGGGCACTGCCTTGAAGAAACCCTTGGAGATCTCCTGGAGTGCCAGCCCACTCTGGAAAGCAAGACAGTCTTTGGGAATGTTCACCTTCGTAACATCTCCGTGTCTGTTTCTTATGTACAAGCCTGCCTCGGCGTCGGGCAGCTTAGGCAAGGCCTTGCCATCACCACTGGACTCATCCAAGAAGAGCGCTGATGTTAGGCCTGTGAGACAGGAATGGTCAAGGTGCTCACCACACCAGTCGTCGGAATTGGCTTTTTTCTCACCTGTGTTGGGGAAGTAGTGGAGAAGACGGGCCTTGGTGCAGGTGGAGTCCTTGATGATACGCTGCAAGAAATTGCGTTCGTACTTTTCGTCGTGTTTGCTAATGTAGCTGTCGCAGTTATTTGCAACCTTCGCAGCCGTGCTGATGATAAGGTTGATCAACTGCTTCGCGTCTGCTTTGAATGTTTCCAAACCCTGGAGCTTCTCGGAAGGCCAGACGTTGGGCAGAACGTACGTTTTGAAGTCGCTGAATTTCTCCACAAGCTGTGGTTCAGGTCCCTCGAGCTTATCGTCCTTGTAGAACGCACAGTTCACGTAGTACGAGCCCTTGTTGAAGTCAGGTTCCCCCGTGGTGCTCAACACCTCTTTGCCACAGGACCAGCCCGTGAGCCACATGGACTCAGGCAGCTCAAGCTTCTTGAGCTCCTCCTCAGGTAAGGTAGCTAGCTTGGAGATGCTCTCGAGCACCTTCGATCTCAATTGAAGAAAGTGGTCTGGCAAGTTTTTCACGATGATGATGCCGAGGGAGTCGGGCCCAAATGCCTTATCAAGCGTCGCAAAGTCGAGCCCATTGCTGAGCTCCTCGAGTGTAACGGAAACTGCTTCTGTCATGGTGGTGGAAAATCGCAGAGCAGAACCCCATATTTATATTACTTGTGCAGTGCCTTCTCTGGCATGCACCAGATGTTCCAAAGCCAGTAATTTCTCGTACCAGCTAATCCGCGTCCCGACTTGGCATAAGCCCTGAATTGTTTCGTAATCTCGAATTTCCGTTTTCTTGGATTTCTGGTACTTCTCGGAGTTGCTTCTGTGGGGCCGAGCGGAAATCTTCATTGCAGCGCTGCGAAACAAAGACCCCGCGAAATTCTTAAATGCCACCTTAATGAGCTGGCCGTTTTGCTTATTTTCCTTGAAATATCGCTTGAGATGTACCGAAATGTCGCTGAAATCTTCTTGATCCTTGCATTCTCCCAAAAGCTCGTCCACCTGTTTTTGTGTGATGTTCAAGTTTTGTTCTTGAAGCTGGCTATAGATCATGGCTGCAAACTGCGACTTCTTGGCTTGGTGCAGCTGAGACCCTGCAGCATTAGCAACAATAAGACAAGACCGATGCGGCGATTTTACGGAAACGTATGTCCTGACATATCGAAGGAATTCGTTTAAGGTAAGCGACATGAGAAATGCCTTGTCGATGGGCTCCTCACATTCGGTACCCCCAAAGCGGTAGGTGCTATTGATGATCTGATCAACTTGACTCCAGTGAGTCATAAACTCACGATTCTCGGGTTTATCACCAGATCCTTGCAGCGGTTGTAGAGACATGAATAGCCCGGAAGGTGTCTTCATATGGTTGGAGTATTGCGTCAAGGTCTGGAGGAATGGTTCGAGTATTTCCTCTCGAAAGTCTCTCTCTGTGTACCCCTCTAATCGGCTCTCGAGAAGGCCTAAATATCTCTCGATCTCATCCGAAAGCTTTTGACAGTCATGTTCCCCACTTGGAATGGTTATGTGTATTCCGAAGGTACGACGAAGAAACTTTGTGCCGGTGAAGACGTTGTAAGCTAGTCTCCTATTGGTGCGGAGTTCGTCTAGGGCAGTATATGAAAGTAAGTGCTCGAAAAGCTTGGCCCAAGAGTACAATTCGTTATCGCTTCGATCACCAATTTGAAGAAAATATAAGACGGTATTTGCAGTATCATCTTCATCTCCTTTTAGGGGAAATGAAATATTGTGTCCACTGGGTATTTTATAGCTCAACCTGCTAGAGCCTTTGTTAAGATGCTCGTCTGTGGTTTTTCCGTTGTAGAAGATGGCTGACTCTGGAAGGTAAAAGCACTCATGGTCAGTGAAGTCTCCGTCCAATAGAAGTTGGCTATAGGGAGCAGCTTTCAACAACCCCTCAGAAATTATTGCGAGATCTGTCTCATCAAGTAGCTCCAATGCATCTAACTTCTCCTCAGGAAGAGTGAGCCCCTCTTCAAGAATAAGGTAGGTTGCGGAAAAGACTTTTCGAATACCAGATGCCTGAAGAGTTTCCTCGATTCTCTTTCTTGATCTCACCCTGGCTTTCTTGAATTTTTGGTAGTCACTCGCATAAGAACCTTCTCCAAGCTGTCTTAGCCGTGACAAAACTGCTTGAAACACGAAAATAGCACTCTCTTTTGCTCCATTGACTGATAGTAAGATAGACGGAATACCGTTTACGTTGGCAAATATACCCCAAAAGGTCCCCACTAACTCGTAATGGTACAAGCCGTATTTGAGCTCCTCCCCAATTAATTCCGTAAGAACTTCGATCCCCACAAGATTCTTTGCTGTACTTTCGAGTTCTCTGAAAACAATGTGTAAAGTAATGCGAGAGGTTTCAACATCTGGCCCTTCGTTGTTGACACTCCATATTTCCGAGGAGCTGTCAAATTTGATAAGTGAAGGCTCGGAAGCAGCAGTCTCCAAACCTCTTATATAGCCAACTTCGGACTGCTGTGTCATCCTTCGGTCGCTAATCAGCTCTTTTAGAGGTTTGGGAATACATGGAAGCTCCAAATTCAAGCTGAGATCTGGATTTATGAAGGTGACCATCTCACTGTTGAGAACTTTCGTGAATTCATATTGAAAATAATTATCCACGGCGGTCACATAGGAGGCCTGGTCTAGCGTGAAAAGACTCAATGGTGATAGATCCTCGTGAGCCACAACGACTCTCAAGTTCTCCTCTGTAAAGCACTGGATTGCAGCCTTTTGAATGTCATTTACCACCTTGATACTGGAACCTCCATCAGTCCAGTCTGCGTATCCTCGAATCAAGTCTGAATAAGCTATCCCGCCTTTCTCAAGCCTCTCGGCATAATCGCATATCTCGTCAACGAATGTTGTTGCAGTCTCACGATTCATAAAACATTTATCCTCCACTGAGCTGTAGTCTTCAATCACAGACGCAAGTTCTCTAGGAGAACTTCTCACGATGATGTAATTGATATAATAGTGGAGAGTATCTACAACCTGCGGAAGATTCCTCAATCCAGTGGGGGTAACATCGATGTCGACAAGCAAGAGATCGTCCTTGAAAATTGTGTTTTGTACCAATACCATAACACCAGTAGCCCATTGGCGTTTTCGTTTCAAGTATTCACATAAGGATTTTTCAGACTCGTCCCCCAAAATATTACAAAGGATGTTACCGATGCGACGGTAGTTCGGTAGGTCCACAATCGTTTGTAATGGGTAACATAATCTCACCCTGGACGTATTGGCTACTTTGAGGAGCACTGTCTTGATATCAGGCTGAAGAATTGGGGTGTCCAAATACCCGTAGAGCTGTGGGCTGAAATATATGTCGTGATCTGACGTAAATGACTGTCCGGATAATCTAACATGGTCAAGCGAAGATTTGGGAATATCCGAGAAATGAGCGACAACTAGTTTCTTGAGGTGGTTGAGTGACTGGGGACCTTTCATGACAAGAGCCATTTTGCGTGCAAGATAAAACCTCTGAAAGTAAGCTCGGAGGTATCTCTGCAACCTTTTTGGACTGATCTGACTAAGTGTTGCCTTATTACCGGTGCCAAATCGGTGAAACACATGATTGGGAGAAGCAAGTGAGCGCAATGCATGAAATAGTATTTTGTCGGTGTTGTTGGTGTTTCCTTTGTGCTCCTCATCAACGGCTCTTATCTCTCCTTTGATGAACCTCTCCTTGAACAAAGGGCACTTGAAGAAAGAAGAAAATATCTCGAGGACGCTGTCAATGATGAAAACCCTCTCGTCTCTCATTTTGGCAAAGGAGGAGACTTCAAAATGATAGCAAGTCTGTTCCATCGTGGTATATGCATTGGTGAACCCGCCTGCGGAAGACACAATCTGATCAAGCTGATTAGGCATGGGACAAGTCTTGGTGCCTAGGAAGAGCATATGTTCACACAAATGAGCTAGACCTAAAGCATCGTCTGGATCATTGCAAGAACCGCTTCCAACAACCATTGATGTTGAGAAAAGCTCGCTGCTTCTGTCACTTATAAGTAGTGCTCTGAGGCCATTGGGAAGCTCGATAAGCTGATAAGACCTGTTGCTATGTGACAATGGGAGATGAAAATCAACATCAATGTTCTTGACATCTAACGTTGATCCACTCATTTTGAATTAAATGAAAGTGACAGTTGTTGTGTATTATTTTGGCATCTCGTCGGGTGCAAAATACCCGATTGAGCTCTCGCAATGGGGGATGTTTCAGATTCTGCAAGTCTGAAACAGTGACTATGAAGCCGCGAGGGCAGAAATGTTTGAATAGAGATTATTCATGATCTATAATGAACAGGTTTATTGTGTCAGTCTTTCATTTGGAGTGGCCTTATCTCGGCCTGGTCGTTGTGTTGGAGAAGCCAAGTCACTCGCAGATAATAAAGTGATACATTTGTTGTGGCGACAAGTGGAGCTTCTCTCAAATCTGTTAAGGCATGCTACCAGGATCATTAGCACCCCTGACAAATTCCGCCGCTTGGACTCCGAAAGGACCCCCTAGGTACAGCAGCAATAGCCACTAGAGTCCTGAGTGATTCTGCACCATGGGCAAATCGGTGGCAGTTCAATTCCATAAGGTCAGCTTTCTCGTCCATTTATGATGTCATTCCATTTGAAGTCTTACTTAAAAGAAACTTCTGTGCTTCCGACATTACCGAGTGAGAGGTGCACCTTGAAGAGTATTCAGAGATGACGACTCCTTCATCGCATACGATTAAACCAACAATCATTATCTCTATGTTTTTCGATCAAGATCTCTAAATAACTTCAATCAGCCCTAAAAGTTCTTTTTTTAAACACACGTCAGTACCATAGGGTGCAAAGGTGAATATTCATCTATAAGGTTTTCGTGTGAGAAAATTCACTTCGTGGTCAAGACCATCTAGACTAACGTAATCAATTCTACAGAAAGCTTGCTTTCGAGATTCACAGCTCTTGTCGTTGAATTTTAAATCGTTGTTTTGCTCATTCCCAATATTTCCGAGAACACGCCCCGCGGTTGAGAAAATAAAAACACAAACAAATACGCCGCAAATAAACACAAAAATTGTAAATCTTAAGTATAACGAAAAAAGGTGATAAACGAGCATTCAGTGTACGTTTTCCTACTGAGCTTGTCGAAGAAAGAGAGGCCCCGGAATTTCACCGTGGTAAATTCTTCAATGGCATTGGCCCAGCCAACAACATCACGTTATCGCCCAGTCAGATTTCGCAGCCAGCGCCCCATGTTACCCAACAGAGAAGCCCCTGCATCTAACCGGTCATGATGTTCCGTGCGTCGGCGTCGAAGCTGACACTAATCCCCCTCCCAAGATCAAATTTAAATTATGACTTATAATTTCGAAATCTATCAAGTTTGTTCCATATTCGAAGAAACTTCCAATGTGCGAAAAAGAAATGTCTACCGGCAGACAGTGACGCACGGAGCAGGCTATCATGGGGAGCGACTGGCGGGCCGGGGGCTAGGTGCAGTACCTCCTGTTGCGCAAGTCAAGCTCCACCAAAAGAAACGTTTTCTTCCATCTGTCACTCATCCATATAAAAAGCTCTACCCCACATACTTTCCAACACCTGCAAACGAACATCAAACCTCAAGACATCACCAACGCATCCCCTAGACTTTGCTAAACCTTTGATACACCTTAGCTACCAAACTTTTATGTTCATACTTTAAAATCCGGTGGCCATGTCGAACCCATACATGTTCAACTACCAACAATACTCGCCTCAAATGAGCAACTCCCAAATGAATACATCCCCAACTTTCGCCAACTTGCTGTATCACGGCGGACTGGGCAACTCGACCACTAGCTCCTTGTCGTCGTCGTCCTCCTCCCTGGTCACTTCAAACTACTCCTTGCACAACTCCCGCTTGAGATACTATCTTTCCAAGTCTTTTGATGCCGAAGATGACATGGAGTTCTGCCCGGACATTCCCGAGTCGTTTAACTCGAACCACATCAAGAAGTTCAATCCTTACACTGCTAGTGTCTTCGCACCAACTGCCCACGTTGGTGAGGCGCCAGCTCTGCCTGGAGCCCTGGAGTCACCTAGAACAAACACTCCAAGAATCAGAAAGCCCGTTGAAATAGTCAACCCCCACACCAAGGTGCGGATTGGCTCTCCAGCATCCCACAAGTAGAGCTGGCAGCGGCATTATGCGTTACGTTATTCATCGACCCGACTCCCAGTCGGGTCTCTGTCATTTTAGACCGTTTTTTGGGGCTGGCCTCCTGTGAGCGTATGGGTCATTCCGCACGATCTGTTGTATATTACAAAGACGGTATTCATGTTAGAATTGCGTAGTTCTTATCTGTAAAATAGTGACATGACTTGACACCTCTTTCTTATCGAAATGCCCATTCTTGACGAAAACTGCATCAAGCGCTTATCGCCCAAAATAGCCCAGGTCGGCTAAATCATTATCAGTTGTGCATCGCATTTGTACGATAATACGTCTTCTTCGGCAAGGCGTTACCTGCTACATTCATCTCTATCTGATGCCTTTGTCACATTTGTTATCCATTTGCATTCTACCGACTTGCATCTCTGTATCTATCCAATAAATTGCTTCTTAACCTTTGTGCACTGTTTTTGTGCACTGGCTTTGTGCCCTGATCTAACCAAGGCATTTGGCCAATCACTAAAAAGTGCCCCACCAGATAAGATTTCGCAGTTGACACCAACCCCTCCAAAACTCGATGTGGCGTGTGTATGCGAGACTCAACGGTCTCATAAACGAAAGAATGGACCTTCCTTTTGGGGGCTACGGAAAAAAATTCAATCACGGAACGGAAGTTTAGCCAACACCCCCGCAGGCGTATCTAGGTAGGCGACTCCGAAAGATAGGCACGTGACCACAGCCGCCCCAAGGTGGGCTTCTGGTCTGGCGGTCCCTTGATAAACACTAAACGGGTAGTTCGCGCCGGTCTTCTAGACAGTGTCCGCCCGATTAGGCAGCTGGTAGCGGCAATCTGGGGCCGACCTCCACTGGTTGAAAAAGTATTTAAGGGCTCCCAAACCTCCTCTTGGTTCTCATCAAACAACTTCATTTTTCCATCAGATGCCTGCTGCCGTGCACCCATTCGATTCCGCCAGGGACTACGAGATTAGATTGGCCACCAAGTTGGTCAAGGATGCCCACCCTGCTTCCGACAATGTTCACTTTGTCCAGGTTGACAGATGTGACCCTCCAAAGAAGGACATGATCAGATACTTGGAGGCCGAGAGACACGGTGGTGACTTCCCAAGAATTCCAAGAGTCTTCTACTGTTACTACTACACCAACACCTTGACTTTCAACAAGGCCTTAGTCAACGTCACTGCTGGTCACATTATCACCAAGACCTCCTTGCCTGAGGGTGTTGTCGGTCCTTTCATGGCTGAGGACATGGAGGAGTGGGAGAACCACTGTCTTGCCCACCCTGCTGTCCTTGCCGAGGTCGAGAAGTTGAACTTGCCAAAGGACTGCAAGGTCATCACCGACCCATGGATCTACGCTACTGACGATCCAAAGGAAAAGAGACCTTTGCTTCAGTTCTTCATGTACATCCAGGCCAACAACGGTCACACCGAGTCTAACCACTACTCCTTGCCTTTGAAGTTCTCCCCAGTTTTCGAGGCCTACTCCAAGAAGTTCATTAGAATGGACTTCTTGCCATCCGGTTACGACGGCACCGTCACCCCAACCCAGGCTTGGAAGAGATCCAAACCTGCTGAGTACCACCCAGAGTTGAACGGCGAGAGCTTGAGAGATGTCAAGCCATTGTTGGTCAACCAGCCTGAGGGTCCTTCTTTCACCATGGAGGGCTCCAAGGTTAAGTGGCTCTCTTGGGAATTCAGAGTCGCTACCACCGCCAGAGAGGGTTTCGTGCTTTACGATGGTTGGTTCAAGGGTAGACAGGTGTTCTACAGAATCTCCTTGTCTGAAATGACTGTGCCTTACGCCGACCCAAGAGCTCCATACCACAGAAAGCAGGCTTTCGACTTGGGTGATGCTGGTTTCGGTGTTACTGGTAACTCTTTGAAGCTTGGATGTGACTGTCTTGGTGTCATCAAGTACTTGGACGGTATGTTCACCGGTGGTAACGGTGAGCCATCTGTCATGCCATCCACCGTTTGCATGCACGAGCAGGATGACGGTATCTTGTACAAGCACATGAACTACAGAACCAAGAACTCTGTTGTTGCCAGAAGAAGAGAGTTTGTTGTTCAGACCATCGCCACTGTTGCCAACTACGAGTACGCTCTTAACTTCAAGTTCGTCAACGATGGTTCCATTGACTTGGAGGTCAGAGCCACTGGTATCTTGTCCACCATGCCAATCGATGACAACATGACCGTTCCATGGGGTACTGTCGTTGCCGAGAACTGTATGGCTGCTTACCACCAGCACATCTTGTCTTTCAGAATCGACCCAGCTGTCGATGGCCACAAGAACTCCGTCTGTTTCGATGACGTTGTGAAGTTGCCAAGAGACAAGAACAACCAGTACGGTAACGGTTTCATCACTGAGAGAACCTTCGTCGAGAAGGCTGGCTCCGTTAAGCAGTCTCCATTCACCAACAGAGCTTACAAGATCATCAATGAGAACGTCAAGAACCCAATCTCCATGGACAACGTTGGTTACAAGGTTGAGATGCCTGCTAGACAGATGATCATCTCTGACCCTGACACCTACAACGTCACCAGAGCTAAGTTCTCTACTGAGCAGCTCTGGGTCACCAAGTACGGTGACAACCAGTTGTTCGCTGCCGGTGAGTTCACTAACCAGTCCCAGACTGACACTGGTCTTGGTGTCTGGGCCAATGGCACTGACGATGTCAGAAACGAGGACTGTGTTGTCTGGCCAACCCTTTCCTTCACTCACATTCCAAGAGTGGAGGACTTCCCAGTTATGCCTGTTGAGAAGCACAGCATCCACTTGGTTCCATTCAACTTCTTCGACAAGAACCCAGGTATGGACCTCCCACAGGCCAACAACAACTTCAACAAGTCCACCTTGGCTAACGTTGGCCTCGATGAGAACAAGGCTTGCTGCAAGAGCACCCTCTAAGTTTTTGACTGACTTATATACATAGACTACATTTAATATTTTGTGAATTTGAGATGTAGAGTTATCTTTGCCATTTTCCTCGTGAGAATTTGCAACATCTACTAATGCTTGGTGCAGCTTGAACCTACTCTTTGTTGAAACTTCCCTGTCATTTTTGCGGCGGCCACCACATTCATGGATATAAACTTGTACGCCGAAGCAGATCACATCACAATTCAATTCAGATGAGTAACATGTCAATGAGAAGGCTCAATCACGGTAAAAATTGGCTAAATTCATGGCCCAAGAACCATCAATTCCGTCCGAGTCGCTGCAGAACCAGACATCATGGTGTGCATATTATCAAAAACGTGCATATAAAGCTTTTTTATAAATGCACTATATAATGACACGGCGCGCAAATCCTACATCAAAGTCCGAGATAGTTTAGTGGCTAGAATTACCGCTTGTCGCGCGGTAGACCGGGGTTCAATTCCCCGTCTCGGAGCTCTTACACGCGCAAGTGGTTTAGTGGTAAAATCCAACGTTGCCATCGTTGGGCCCCCGGTTCGATTCCGGGCTTGCGCATTCTTTTTTATTTTTTACGCTCAAAAGGGTCCGCAGCAGTGACAGAAAGCAGAGTAAGCATGGAAGCTTTGCGCAGGCATTCCTGCCTGGCGCGAATACACAGTATCTACATGGGCTCAGCTTACTCCTCATATAAAAGTAGCACATTCCTAATTTTTGAACCCCTACTTTTGAGCTCCACAAATTTGATGTCACAAGTAACTGAGCCACGTATGTATCGCCAAAATCCTACAAATGCCAGCCATTGCTAACAAATAGCCTATATCCACGACAAAAGACCCACTCGTGGAAACACCCGTGGTAGGTTCAGTTGGGTTAAGAGACTCGTCCAGGGACCCAACTCCCAAACAGCGCCACATCAACATCAACCGGCTCAACGCGTTCAGCACCAGCCACGGCTGCTGACGACAAGAACAACGGGGCTTGAGCGTCCCGGAGAGGTTAGGTTCAACGTAAGACCCACGCCAGGGATTCCTACGCCAGGAATTGCTCTGGACGACAACAGCACGCGAAAATCGCTCAAATCCATGGACATAGGCAGTGACGCGGACTCTCAGATGTCAGAAGACAATATCTCCACGATTCCGCTCAAGCTGATAGTTTCACACACTTCGACAAACTCTCCATCGATAATCAGCAGTGAAAACCACCCAGATAACAACTCTGGAGTGGCTTCAACAGCAGATACCTCTGTCTTTCCCAGCCCACACGCGTCAGTGTCGCCTAGCTTTTACACGGGGCTGTTGAATACCAGACACGGTGCCGAGAGAGAGCGAGACAGCGAGCTGATTGTGACACTTGCAAGTCTGTCAAGGCGAGTAAGGCGAAGAAGCATCGATACCAACTGCAGTATGGCTGGCATTCCGCCCGCCAGCATTATGGAGCGCTTGACGGTAAATCTGTCGACCAGAGACCCTCCGGGGGACGAGGAACATTCGCTAGGTAGGTAACATGGGTATATGAATGGAAAGGTTTGGAAGTTTTACACTGGAATGCGCCTGGCGCCTATTGTAGACGACGAAGAGCCGACGAATAAAGTGCGAAGACCGAAGATTAGCACTCAGGGGGATTTCTGCAAAGTGTAGGTCATTTCGCTTATGCGTGTTTCTGATCCGAATGGCTGCAAACGAGCAGCACATTGACAACGTCAAAAAACCAGTCTTAGGGGTCAAAGATTGTCAAATGTAGGATGATAATCTAGACCTCAGCGTCCTTCTTTTTGGTCATTAGACTTCTCATCCAGGATATGTCAACCCCTTCTAGAATCCTGTTGAAAGCCTATTATCATTGCGCATAAGCTTCGCTTTGCTTGGAATGTCAACTAAACCGTGACAAAACTTCTTCAAAAGGTAACCCAATAGTCTTTTTGGATCTTCTCTTCTGGATTGTTAATTTTTGGAGTGACCATCTTTTTGTGGTGTTCTCTATTGTCCGATTGGGGTGGGGCTCAAGGCTATGGAGTGCACCGAGAGAAAGACTAAACAAAACAAACAATAGTGAGGCGGTCGCACCAACTACCAAAAGTTAACATCAACACATCCTCAGGCCGCTAGAAACCGTTTAAAAGAAGATAGGAGTATGGGCAATTTCGGTAACGACTCCTCTATCGAAGGAGACGTCTATGTCCAGCGGTTGGCCACTTATATCCGGAAAAATGAGGAGGCTTTGGCGAACGGGCTTCTCTGTTTTCTGAAAAGCAGGGGCAGTTCAAAAGTCAAGCCTCTCAGGATGACTTTTACTATTCACCACTTGTACTATATCACCGAGAGAATTGATAACTCTTCACTTGGGGTCGATGTTGGCCCCCTTAATATCAAGTTGGATACCCCCAACCACGAACCCACATTCATTTCATTCATGGCAAATAACGCCAGAACACAGAGACAGTTTGAGAGTGATGCCCGGTCGATCACGTCGATGAATTCTGTCAAATCTATCGTGTCCAGCGCCTCGGTGTATTGGAGATCTTTCTCGTTTAGCAAGGATCCGAAGATCATACAAAGGGACATCAAATACTTGTATTCGTCATTCACCAAGATTCCTTGCTTGATATTGTCACCCAAGACAAAAATCTACAGTATCTCAGGCTATGAAGAATATCCATGTGATACCCTGGTTCCCTTAAAGATGTTCAAGAACCTTCAAGTGCTAGAGTTGGTGGAGTATGAGCCCAATGAGTTATTTGGGTGGCATGTGCTCAGCGAGCAGTTGAGAATACTTATAATACGGAATTCCAAGGTTTCGGATTTGGCACTGATCCTTTTCGCCTTGGTCGTTGACGACGAGAATGGTCGTTCCTCATTCAGTAACTCACGCCAGTCTAAGCGTCACGAACCACCATTCCTTCATGACACAGCAGAGACAGGCCCTCATAAGCATCACCACCCACGCAGAGAACGGGCTTTCACTGCGTCCGCGAGCGTGCCATCTCATCGTGATCTGTTCCTCGCAGATTCCGCATTCCCCCTGTCAACCGACTTGGCCTTCACCGCATCCGCTCATTCCCTTGAACGTGAATATACCGCTTTACCCGAATCGAAGTGGTTTTACTTACGTCAACTCACTGTTTCAGAGGGTTCAATCACATCCATCCCAGCATTTGTCTTCAAGCCGCTTACAAATTTGGTCAAGTTGAACTTGGCCAACAATTTGCTTGAAGAGTTACCTCCAGGCCTAGACCAGCTTACGAACGTGAAATACTTGAATTTTGCTGATAATTACATCACTTCATTGCACAATCTACCCACGAACCTCAAAAATCTCACGACGTTGTCTCTTAACAACAACAAAATCACTAATATAGATGGCATCGAGAAGATGGAGAGTTTGGAAAAGATTGATTTGCGGAGAAATAAGCTTGGTTCAGTCGCCCACTTGCGTCCGCTCATAAATCTATTCAAGATCGAGGGCTCCAAGCTCGGCAACATATTCGTTTCGAGTAACCCTCTACCGAAGACGTATCGTGCAGACCTTTTCAACCTATTCAACGGTGTGAGGTCACCCAACAACATGAAGATAGATGATTCTAGACCTGGCTACTTCGAGAACGCTCTATTGTTAGACCGTGAAGAAGCCATAAGGAAGTTGAGGAAGTTTTTGGAGCCAGATGCACCTGAGACAAAATCAAAGAGCGCTAGAGGTTCCACTGCAGCGACATCTGCGAACGGTACAATCACTCCAAAGACCCCTGACAGTCCTACTACTCATCGCCATACCCAATCTATTGGCAACACAAGCGATCTAGCTCAATCAGTAAGACTGCTCGATATAAAGGGTCTTGAGATAAGCACAGTGCAACAAAAGCATTCCAGCCAGATCACCACGAAATCCACGAAGACTCCAATGACTCCTCCTGTGGCGGCCGCTGAGGAGGGCGCTTCACCACTCAACACCAAGACCCCCTTGCAAAATAATCAGAACCTCAACAACCAGTCACAATACTCAACGAGCAAGTTCTCGAGCATGACAAGACACTCATTTTCTCCCCCAATGCTCCATCCAAACGGTTCGGCAGCGACTCTCAAGAGCTCAACCACCTTAAGTAGGATCGACTTGGAAAGCACTGGTGTCAACAACCCAGCACCTAATGTCATAACACCTGTTCAAGTACAGGTGGAGGGTTTTCAATAGTTACGGCGTAATTTAATGTTCAATTCAGACACTCCTTAGAGCGGGTAGAGCTATATATATCGCACCATCCATTTTGTGCAGCTGCAAAAAAACCAACCTCTTCTCTTTATCATGAGAAACCCCTTCACTCCCATTTTGGGTTTCTTGTTATTTGTTCCCTTTGTTAACGGCGATTCTGAATCTCCTGCAATCACCATTCAGTCCACTTTCAAGGATAGCGGTGGGTTGCAAAAACGTGCCAACCACCGTGAAAGTCCCTTGATCTACTATGGAGACGACCATCCGCTGGAGTACTACTGGACCAAGCCGTACTATCCAAGCCGTTTGTAACACACTCACAACTTCTTCAAATCTATTCTAACTTCTAGCTCTCGGTGGTAGAATCGAGAATCACTGGGAAAGGGCCTATGACAAGGCAAGGAAACTTGTAGATCGGATGTCTATCACAGAGAAAGTCAACTTAACTACCGGATCTGGTTGGGGATCGGGTCCATGTGTTGGCAATACTGGCTCTGTTCCTCGACTTGGTATCCCAGCATTGTGTCTCCAAGACGGACCCAATGGAGTGAGATTCACTGATTTCGTTACACACTTTCCTTCGGGTTTGGCAGCCGCAAGCAGTTTCAACAAAGAATTGGTTTATAAAAGAGGAAAGGCTATTGGAAGAGAACACAAGGCAAAGGGCGTTCACATCGCTTTAGGCCCCTCCATAGGACCCATGGGTCTCAAGGCTAAAGGAGGCAGAAACTGGGAAAGCTTTGGCTCGGATCCTTACCTTCAGGGTGTTTTGGGAGCTGCAACAGTGAAGGGTATTCAAGACGAAGGAGTTGTAGCCGTTGCAAAGCATCTAGTGGGTAACGAGCAGGAGCATTTCCGTCAAGTGGGTGAATGGGACCATGGTGACTATGACCGACTCGATCTGTCGATCAGCGCCAATATTGGTGACAGGGCCATGCACGAAGTTTACTTGTGGCCATTTGCAGATGTGGTAAAAGCAGGTGTTGGTGGAGTAATGTGTGGTTACAATATGGTGAACAACACTTATGCCTGTGAGAACTCGTATCTTCTTAACTATCTACTTAAGGAGGAGTTGGGGTTCCAGGGTTTCGTCGTATCGGATTGGGGTGCTCAACACTCGGGTGTTACCTCTGCCCTCTCTGGTCTTGATATGACTATGCCAGGTGAGGTTTTCGATGACTGGCTTGGCGGTAAAGCCTACTGGGGTCCACTACTCACCAGGGCTATCTACAACCAAACTATTCCACAGGAAAGATTAAACGACATGGCATCCAGAATACTTGCCCCATTCTTTGCAATGAAGTCTATTCTGCTTCCTTCAGAGGAGGAGATTCCCAACTTCAGCTCGTGGACTCACCATACATATGGCCAACAGTTCCCATACCAGCACTACGGAGCCATTGTGCAGCAAAACTGGCACGTCGACGCCAGATCTGAAATGAATGATGAGATTGGCTTGGAGTTGGCTCGCCAGGGAATCGTCCTTCTCAAGAATAAGAACCGCCATCTTCCTATCAATAAGGACGATGGTGTGAGAAGACTATTGGTGGCTGGTTTGGCTGGAGGAAATGACCCCAATGGATTCAATTGCAGAGACCAGAAGTGCACTGATGGAACACTCACGTCAGGTTGGGGGTCTGCTGCTGTTAATAATCCATGGGTTATTACAGCACAGGAGGCTATTTCCAAGAAAGCTCGTGAAAGAGGAATAACGTTTGATGTTTCCGAGGACAACTGGGATCTCAAACGAACAGAGGAACTAGCAGATTTTGCAGATATGACTATTGTTGTGGTGAATTCGGTTTCAGGCGAGGGCTACATCGATGTGGATTGCAACTACGGTGATCGGAATAATATCACTCTTTGGCATAATGGCGACGAATTGATCGAGCGAGTGACGTGCCACTGCAAGAGGGTTGTCGTTGTGGTTAATGCAGTTGGGCCCGTGAATATGGAAAAGTGGATCGAACATGACCATGTTGTTGCCGTGCTCTTTGTTCCACCATCTGGTCAGTTTGTTGGGGCTGCAATTGCAGAGGTCCTCTTTGGAGAGGTGAACCCTTCTGGAAAGCTTCCCTTCACCATAGCCAAGAAGAATCTGCACTACGTCGATATCAGGGACAGCTTGGGCGATTGCGTTGATCCACAAGATAACTTCGAGAGAGGCGTCTACCTCGACTACAGATTCTTCGAGAAACACACCATCAAGCCCAGATTCGAGTTTGGCCACGGCTTATCGTACACAAAATTTCTGGTGAGTGAGCTTGATATCTGTGAAATCAACCCACCAGCAGAGTACCTCCCCTGCCCCCCTGATTACTTGCCTCTTTCAAAGACCATCCAGGATGATGTCTGCGACCCTGAGGACGCCCTTTTCCCTCATGACGAAATGGACCCCGTGCCAGGCGTAATTTACCCTTACTTGTACAGCGAGAACATCAGATCACTTGATGAAGACGACTGTTACGACTATCCAAAAGGCTACGATCCAGATCAGAAATGCGAGGCACCGTTGGCTGGAGGTGCGTCTGGAGGAAATAGAGCATTATGGGAAACTCTTTACAAGGTTTCGGCAAAAGTGACGAATGAAGGATCAATGGCAGGAAACTACGTTGCCCAACTCTACATTGAATTCCCCAGCACCATCGTGGCATCACCACCCAAGGTCCTCAGAGGCTTTGATAAGATCTTTTTGCAGCCAAACGAGTGTGGGGATGTGAAGTTTGAGGTGAAACATCGTGATTTGAGTATTTGGGATGCCGATTCACAGCAGTGGATCATCCAAACAGGCACTTACAAGGTGTACGTGAGCACACTGAGCAGGAAAGTGGAGCTCTGTGGAGAAATAGAAATCGGCTGCTAAATGGCTGCGAAAAATGTACTACACCTTGGGTGTTATTGTTTAGGCGCGATCACCAAAACAGAGGTAGACCAACACCCAGAGGTTAAATAATATGGTGTCTTCCAACCCATTGGGAGAAAAGTACGCTAGATTCAGGGCATTGAACCCTAAGTCAGCTCGGCCTATCAGTCCTGTGAGGCTGCTGAGTCCCGTCAAGGGAACTCGATCCTTATCCAGAAAGTACGATGAGTACTTGAGAAGCCGGCCTTCGGCACCAAGACTTGCTGAGCCAGAGCAAGGCTACACGGCTCGGAAATTGGAGTCTCCGATCAAGCTACTAAGAGAGCCCACGACATATGCTCGGAGATTGTCTCGACTAAACCGAGATCTATCACCTCCAAAGCGTTCCTGGGAGAAACCAGAAGCTCTAGGGATCACGAAAAACAGAAGTTGGGCCGACAAGAAGGAAAAGGCCACGAGGAAGAGCCGATCAGATCAGGGTGGCGTGTTTCTGAGGCTACGATCCTTTTTATCGAAGATGAGCTCAACCGACGATCAAGAGTACAGGCAACTCACCGAGTCGGCCGGCTTGGTCAGGCACGAACTACCTGTTGAAACGCCGAAGCGTCATGTACAGATTGACCAAAATCTATTCCAGCGCAGGTATCCAGCGTGGGATAAAGGTAATGAGATTGATGAGGTGGACGAGGAGGTCAAAAGGGCCAAGGCGCGTGAAGAAGTCAAGACGTTAAAGGATAGAATTGTTGAGCTCGAGCTGCTTCTTTCTCAAGAGCAGAGCAAAGCCGCTGACACCAAGGATGAGCTTCAGAGGAAGTTATATCTAGCAACGCAGGATCATGAGGCCACCATACATTCTTTGAAGCAAGAGCTCAAGGAGCTCGAATTTCGTGCTAGCAGGAGGTACAAGGAGTTGGAGAGGCTGAAGTTAAATGAGCTCAGGGAGGAGGTGTTGCGGGAGAATGAATCATTTTTGATGCAGCAGAATGCTAGGGACCAAAGCTTGAAAAGACGCGAGCAAAGTTTGGAGGATAGGTCACAGGAGCTTGAAAAGAAACGAATTGATCTTGAAAAACGAGAGATTGATATTAAGCTGAAGGAGGAATACATTAAGGCCGCTGAGGCAAAATTGACGGCTAGACAACTTGAGCAGGCTGCAACTGAGACAAAGAGCCCTCTCGAAGAAATAAAGGCTAAGCTCAGAGAAAACGAGACTGATATGAAGAAGTTTCGAGAAATTGTCAATACGGTCATTGAAGACACAAGGAGTTATAAGGACCACAATCTTCTGTTCCGTCTCCACAACCTACTTGAACCACTTAATACAGCTGAAGAAGTCTTACCCAGCAAATGGGAGACTCTTTTCGAAGACTACGGAGAGTACTTCCGGGCTTTCGATGCAGAGATGCCGGAGAAGCAGCGCAGAGAGAACTATAATCCGAAGTCTTTGGAGAAGATCGAGGCCAATTTCAACCAACTTCAAGAGGAATTCAAGGACAAAATTGACAAGAGACGCCTCAGAATCTACCACCTCGACAGGCTCATCAAACGCAGTTGGGTAAGACGTTACGACTTCGACATTGTCAAGGCCGAGAGGATCGCCCAGTATCTCAAAACACGGGCGACCTTATGCCGAAAGCAGAAACTGGACCATGAGCTACTCGAAAAATTCGCACAACTTCACAGCTCTCTCAAAGCAATCCAGGCAGCTGTGGTGTAGGTCGATCCATCACCACTAACGCGCTGCTCAACGCGCGTCTGTATCTACAAACATCCTGTCTCATTTCCACTCGATTTATAGAACTTGTACCAATATCAAAACATGTCGGGACCAGCATCGCTCCCAGTGAAATTAGTCCCTTCTAATATACGGCCAATAGCCTATCGAATACTATCAAAGAAGCATGGTCTCAATATTCAAACAGATGCCCTTTCAGTGCTCACAGACGTCATAGGGTTAAAATTCGGGGCAGAATGGAGAGGCCCTAAAGCACAACAATTCATGGAGGAGATTGCCAAATCGTGGAAGCATCAAGACAGAGGTCTCTTTATTGACGGCCCAGGCTTACAGCAGGTTGTCAATGAACTTAGCAAAGAGAAGAGCGTCGAAAGAGATGAACCTAAGCTTGCCCTGCGCTCAGACACGTTGATGGATATTGACGCACCAGCACCAGCGAAAGAGGAAGTGGTCATTAACTGGACCGATTACTTCAATTTCATCACACCAGACGAACAGCCGAACTTCGAGTTTGATAGAGTGAGAAAGCAGTTCACCCCCAAACCGCCCGTGGGCCCTAAGTTGCAGAGCTCATTGAAAGCTGCTACAAATTATTTCAATCAAAGATACCATCTACTTGTGGATCGTTTGTCGAGGCATGAAAACTTTCAGAAACAGTCATTCTCCAGTCTTGCAGCCATCAACAGCACATTGAACAACAGCGACGTGAAGTACGACATCACACTAATCAAAAACGTCTTAGGACGTGATGGTAGTAAGTTTATTCTATTTGGACTCTTGTCCAAGAACATGAATGACAACTACATTCTTGAGGATTCGACTGATCACATCGAATTGGACTTCACACATACACATGCTACCGAGGGCTCCTTCTATACACCTGGAATGTTCCTCATCGTTGAAGGTATTTATTCTGCTTCAGGTGGATCGATGAGCAATGACGCGTCAGTGATTAGCGGTCGCTTCCATGTTTCTAACGTTAGTCACCCACCCGCCGAAAGACGCGACACAAGTTTGAAGAGTTACGGCTACCTTGATTTTATGGGTATTCTAGGTGGTGTCTCACGGTCTAATGGTGCCATTGGTAAAATCGATAAACCGTTAAGAAAGAAGCTCAGCTCTTTAGAAAAAGCTTTGGGTGGACACAAACTTATATTTCTAGGGGCTAACTGTTTCCTTGATGACAAAAAGATAATGACAGGACTCAAGAAGTACTTTACAAAACTTGAGGCTCTTCTTATTGATCAACAAGGTTCGGATGATTCAGAACTTCCCTTGGCAATTGTCATGACAGGCTCGTTCTGCTCTCAACCGCTCACAGCAGCCAATGGGTCAAGTACGTTAGTTTCAAACTCAGAAAACTACAAAAGCAATTTTGATGATTTTGCTGCCCTCTTAGGGAACTTCCCAGTAATTATCAAAACGTGCAAATTCGTTTTGGTTCCAGGACCAAACGACCCATGGCAATCGTCCTATTCTTTAGGAAGAGGAAGCCTCACAAGCATACCGCAAAAATCAATTCCAAAGGTGTTTGTGACTAGGCTAGAAAGACTTTTACCTAAGGGCAACCTCATTTTTGGCGGAAACCCAATGCGCATCAATTACATATCGCAAGAAATTGTGTTATACAGAGACGACTTGATGAATAAGCTAAAAAGGAATGATATAATATTCCAAGATCAGCTTCAGCAGCTTGAAGATGAAGAGGCCGAGAAAGAAAATCTTCAAGAGGGTTTGGATGTGAAAAAGATCGTTGGCGACCAGGGTCCTTACTTGAGCTCCAAAATCAAACAAGCTAGACAATTGGTAAAGACTATTCTTGACCAAGGAAATCTTCAACCCTTTTTAAAAGATTTGAAAATTGTTGATCCCAATTATCTGCATGCGCTAAGGATTGAGCCTCTTCCAACAACCTTGGTTCTTTTCGATACGCGCTTTGAGTCCTTTGAGGTGACTTACAATGGCTGCAAGGTTGTAAACATCGGCAGCTTGATAAGCAACAAAAATTCTAAGAGGCTTAACTATGCAGAATATTACCCAAGTCACAAGAGCTACTCTTTCAGAGAGCAGTATTTTTGAGACGGGCGGGACCAAGTTTAGCGGATTGTGGGGCAGTCGCTCACAGAGTGCGCACTACCGACCTTGATCTCAAACTTCGCACACTAAACCATATATCACCTTCATGTCCACTCAAGAATTTCACCGGGATCGCCATATCAAGTTCATTCAAGAGCTTGATTCGAAAGTTACGAAGCAAACATATGAGTATTGGTTACTGGAACACCTTCGGCTCAATGGCTTGTACTGGGGTATAATGGCGTTGGCCACTGTCAACGCGTTGGATGCGTTGCCTAGAGACGAGGTGATTCAGTTTGTTATGGACTGCTATGACAAGGAGGAGGGTGGATTTGCCGCCTTTCCCGGGCATGATGCTCACATCCTCACAACGCTTTCAGGACTACAAATATTGTTCATCTACGATAGATTTGACGTCATCGAGGGAGAAAAGAAAGACAAGATCCTCGAGTTTGTCATGAACCAACGTTGCAGTGGTGGCTCCTTCAGAGGTGACAAATTTGGTGAGATCGACACCCGATTTGTATTCGCTGCTGTTTACATTCTCAAGATGTTGAAAGGACTCACACAAGAAATTGCAGATGGGGCTACAGACTTCATTCTTCGTTGCAGAAATTTCGACGGAGGCTTTGGTCTTCTACCGGGTTCCGAGTCGCATGCTGCTCAAGCTTACACGTGCCTTGGAACATTGGCTATCTTGGAACAATTGGACAAGATTGACAATAGGACGCCTAGTTGGCTTAGCGAGAGACAGGTTCTCCCGTCCGGCGGATTCAATGGTAGACCAGAGAAGTTACCTGACGTGTGTTACAGTTGGTGGGTGCTTCTGAGTCTATCAATGTTAAAAAAATCACATTGGATTAGTTTTGAGGACCTCGAGAAATTCATTTTAGAATGCCAGGATCTAGAAAATGGAGGTTTCAGCGACAGACCAGACAACCAAACTGATGTCTATCATACATGCTTTGCGATCACTGGCCTAAGTTTGATGTTTAGCAGCAAGTATGGCATGAAGCCTGTCGATCCAATCTACTGTATGCCAGTGGATGTCACTGACAGACTATCTACATAAGAAAGTTCAATGAAATTTTCACAAGTAATATCAAAATGCTATGAAATGCGAATTATCAGCTTTAACCTGATGAATACAATTCTGTCTCCATCATCCACACATCGCCCACTTCATCGATGTGTTTGATCTGCTCGTCTGAAAATTTGATCACTGTGCCCTCTATTAGGTTACTTTTCGTTTCTCCATCCTGCTCGAAGTAGCCTCCAAGAGAGGAGTAGGCACACCACAAATAGTTTTTGCAGTAGTTCATCATATGCCAAGCTGCCTCGGGCTCGTGTTCGAGGTTCTTGGCCTTTTCACGGTTTCTGTCAAAAGGGGGAATGATTGCATGCAAAATCTTCAACTTAGATCTGAAGAAAGTTTCAAATTCCTTCACCGTCTTGTACTTTGTGAACCGTCTGTTGTTATTGAATTCCTCTTGAAACTTGACACCTTTGTCAACATTACCGCAAAATCTGAACCCAGAATTGAACCACACAAGCGTTTGATTGTCAGTGTCACTGATGTGACTGGGATGAGATGAGCAAAGCTCCTTTGACTTGAAACTCTTGATTTGATTGATATCCTTGTGACGTTCGGTTTCGGGAGTCATCTCACCAATAGCAGCGGCAAAGTTATCGTCAAACTCATAGTTCTCGTCACCAGCAAGAACTAGCGAAAGCCAGAACAATTCCTTATCGCCATAGAGACGAGCAGTGATGGGCTGATAAAAGTTCAAGACGGACATCATGAAGGGCTGTATAAAATGTTTCTTCTTGTTGATGACAACGAGACCACTCTCCATGTAATTCTCGAAACCAAGGAAAAACTCGTTATCCAACGTCTTATTCTTGATTTGGTTGATATTGAAGACGAAACCATCATCAAGTGAAGGCATAAGCTTGTGAAAGAGCACGGAATTTTCCCTTTCACGGAAGTTGAAAGTAGAACGATCCTTGTAGAACATGGTGCCCGAGTTGATGTACTTCTTGAGCTTGAAGAGGAAGTCTGGATGCTGCAACAAAACTGTATCAGCGTCGAGGAAAACCATCTCCTCAAAGGAGTTGAATAAAGTTGCCATGATCTTGTTGGCAAAACCATTGAATTTGCCAATGAACTGAGGCTCGATCGCACGACTAGCATCAACGAACCAAAGATCTTGGGTTGGGTAATTCTCATACTTTATTCTTGCCGCCTTCACAATATGAGCCTTTGATAATTCGTTGAGTTTGGAGTGGTACACGATCTGGATAGGATACCTGTTACCAAGGAAACGAAGAACTTTGATGAGGCGAATAGCGTCGTCGACGTGATCATCATTGAAAGTCATCACTATTCCTTTTCCGTTCAAGCGGTTTTTGAACTCATTGAGGAAGCAACCTTTGTTCTCATGGACTCTATAATTATTACCAGGGAAGTATGCCTTCTCGCCGTTGTAGCGGGTGAATTCAGGATACTCCATGGTCAACCATGGGAATACTTTGCTTTCAATCTGTGAGCACAGCACCTTGTCACGATATATGGAGCCGCCCACCACCTCGTCTGGGTCAGCGAGATACTCCACATTTTTGCTCAAAAAATATTGCTGTCTTCTGACATAGCTCGTGTCGTTACGATAAATTGCTTTGTTTTGCGATTGCACATAGCACTTGTCGAAGATACGAACGTGGGCAAGGAAATCGTGCAATCTTTGCTCAGAGCCCTCGACCTCTTTCCAGAGATTCTGGTAATCATGACGAATCTGAGTATCAGAAAGCGGTTCAGGAGCGGGTCTTCCGGCTTTCTCTGCCTCCTCGACTAGTTTCCTGTGGTCCTTCTGACGAGTCTCCTTATATTTCTCGAACAGCTGGAAAGCAGTCTTATCGTACGAGACAACCTCGTTAGGATGGATCAACCAGTCGGGATCGCTTTTCAGCAAGTGGTTGAAATAGATCAGACACCTTTGGTCAAACAGGTACTGTTTTAAAAAGTCGTACATGCTGATGGAACTGAGCACCTCGTCGTAAGCCGAAGACCGTGTGGTTATATGGGACATGGATGGGTGCCTCTGGTGGTACATCGAGAAGACCGTCATGAGCTCCTTCTTTGTGAGCGACTGCTTCAGCGCCGAAGGGATATAGCTGGTGTCGAGTCCCCTGTAAGAGGTCCACCAAATGGCAAGACATAATAGCCATGCTAACGCAAGGTACTTCCAGTAATAGGATCTGGAAAACAAAATGCGTTGGATCGACATGACATGAGGTTTGCCGTTAGGGGGGAAGAAGCGAAAGCGTCAGTAGTTGGTGGTGAGGACGAGATTTGGGAGGTGCAGAATATAAGATAAAGGCAAGGCTCCCTAGAGATGCGGTGCAGTGGGCGCGATCTGAGCAAAAAAAGAAAATAAGCCAAGCGCACAAAGGAGGCAGTGACAAGTAACCAGCAATGAGCGCACACACCCACTGATAAGCACTTTCCTGCTTTTAGGGCTGAGGGTGAAGTCACAAAAATTGACAAGTTTTTGCTGAGACCCAAACGCGTCCTGCCCTTAAGTGCTCAACGCCTTATCCCTTTAACCAGAACGAGGAGTTCCGGACTTTGCCCGCCCTGCTGAGTACGTCAACATAGGCACCTCGGGGAGACCGCTGTGCGTGGCCGTCGCAGGAACCATGGCTGAATGCCGGGAATGCAAATTTGCCAAAGGTCTGATCCCTCAGATTAGGGCTTTGCAGTCCGCGACAATTGTAAAATCTGGGATTCCCTCTTGACGTTGGTGGCGTGTTGTTCCTGGCCGCCCATGCGGCGCTTGACACTTGTGTGTGCAGTGGCGGCTTTGAGGCAAAATTTTGGCTTTTACGGCCGATGCCTCGTGTGGGCTGTTGCGTTTTATGGTTTGAGGGTTCGGCACTTTTACCTTTAAGCAATTGCTTGACTTCAAACTTCATCCCCCGTGCGGCGTAGCCCCTTACGCTTGGTTGTCCAGCCCTTGCTCGTAAGAAGCCCAGTTCCCTGCGTGCTTAAGCGAGGCGCACCCAACCAAGAATGTGAGCCTATGGCACAAGGGTACCACTTGGAGGAGTTTGTTTTTGTGGGACCCGCTGATCTTGGCACAGCAACCATTGTGACTGTTGATTGTTCCAGATTATGTCATACTGAAGATTACAATACCGCGGTGGACTGCTTGTTTTTCTTCTGCTTGCGTCCACTTCCCATGCTCTCACGAGTGATTTGCTAGAGTGACGCACGTGGACTTTAGTGTGATCTACAGTCAGGTGACACAACACACGTGCATCAACCTAACTGAGGCTCACTGTGATATCAGTTTTCCAACCCACCCAAGGATGACACTGTACTTCTCAGACTCCCCACAGCACCCGGCGCTGCTCATCTGTGAGTTGTGCCGCTTGTTCTATGACAACAATTGGGTCACTGGCACTGGTGGTGGTATCTCCATCAGAGACGTCGATGGGCCAAACCCCAATATCGTCTACATCGCCCCCTCGGGCATTCAAAAAGAGCGTTTGAAGCCAAAGGAGATGTTTGTTGCGGAGTTGCCAGGCAAGATCTTGAGGACTCCTAACGATGAAAGTACTGGTCAGCCTTTGTCGGCAGACTTGGCCAAGGACTTCAAGTATAAGCCCTCTGCGTGTACGCCACTCTTTCTCAGCTGTTACAACTTGAGAGACGCTGGCGCATGTATTCACACTCACTCACAAAACGCAGTGATGGCAACTTTGATTTTCGAGGACAAGGTGGAGTTCAGCATGAGCCATATTGAACAGATCAAGGCCTTGCCACAGCTTGCTGCCAACCCCGAGACAGGCAAGATTGAAAAAGTTGGCAGCATGCAATACTATGATACTATGGTGCTTCCAATCATCGAGAATACACCTCATGAGGAAGACTTGACCGACACCTTGCAGAAGGCTATCAAGGACTACCCCAACGCCACTGCTGTGTTGGTGCGTCGTCATGG